ATATATATATATATATATATATATATATACACATATATTTGTTTATTCATTTAAATTAGAATAATATGATATTCGCGTATGTAATTTACTTATATTACAGCTTACGATTATAGTTTAGGTACAACTTCGATGAAAAAGGCAATGGTAACTGATGTATTTTCTCCTTCATGTAAGTAGAAAAGGCATTGCTGTTTACGTAACTGGCGATTATTACATTTTGGTCACGGGGGCTGCTGGATGCATCTACGTCCATCGCTTCCGTCGTGTCCGGAGGATCGACAGGCTCTGACTCTGATTGACTGGTATTCGATGTAGGGCTACTATCCTCGTTGTTCAAGTTCACGTCCTCCACGATACCACTGTCAGTTTTCTCTCGTTTGGCCATCTTTTTACGTTGAACGACTATCTCGTCCTGTTCCGTTTCGCTATCATCACTTTCGCTTATATTCAACAATGTTTCAGTATGTTTGAGTAGATTCAAATACGTCTCGTTGACGTTGGTGAAATTCTGTGCTTCGTCGGCTTTGCCCTCAGTTTGCTTCTCCTCCGTCGAATTCGATGCAATTTCTACACGGTTGTCCTCTTCTGTCCGCGAAACAGATTTCTTATTGTCCGTCGAACTTTCAGGATTTTCATTGTCCCATTCAACTCCGTTACTATTACTATTGCTATTGCTATTCACCACTTGCCAATTCTGGCTTTCGTTCATGTTACACAACATGACAGCCCGTACCTGAGAGGTTGTGTACAAATCCCTAGGATCAACGTCTACGTTGAGCAACACGCACAATCTTCTTGTAAATTCGTCATCTTCGTCTGATACTGACTCCTCTGACACGGACTCGTCAGACTCCCGCAACACGGGTATTACGAATCTCGTTAGTGTCTGCTGTGGAGGGCTGAATCTTCGTCGTCCCAATGATATTACTATCTTCGTTTCCAGATCCTCGTGCTCCTTCCACACGTTTGATCGCAAGCACCGCCTGATTTTCCCTCTGCATAATTCTTGCAAAGATAACGGGGCACATTCAGCTGCAACACACGCAAGTGGCGATATAAAAACGATATGCAAACGCCATTGTTTTATCATTAATTAGACAAGAAAGAAATTACAGATATACATACGTAAATGGAATAACGTTTGCTCTGAAGCAGTAGGTACGACTAACGTTGTAAACGATACGGGGAGCATTTTAAAGTGTAACCAGGTATCCTCGTCTATTCTGAGTACACGTAACAAGTGATCTTTGAACGGCATTATAAGGATACCTCCGATACATACAAATTGTTTAATGAATCCCTCGTAATTTTCAGGACATGCTGCCCCGCAATACACTCTGTCATACTGCCTACTAGGTGTAACATTCAAACAATTCCCTGTTAAACGTACAGTTACATGACTCTTTTCTTTCTTTTTGTCCTCGCAGGAGTCATATATAAGTAAATTCTTTATGTGTGTCACCTTGTATAAAAACTGGCTCACAAAAATCAAATTCGTCCAGCGCTAATGACTTCTGCTTAAACTCTTCTAGCCGCTCGTACGCGTAATTCAAACAATCTTCATGCAACTCAATGCCATGATTCGTACCGTGTTGATCTAAGAAAGACGCAAAGATATCAAGGATATATCATACTGATCTAGTAAAACAACTGTCTTACTCAATATGAGCCCTGCCATTGTACTGAGATAACCAGTGCCTGATCCAAGATTTAAAAAACTCAATCCTGGCTCCAATGAAAGACTTTCCATCACCTCGCTATATATACATGGTGCGGATAAATGAATGTTGCCATGTTTCCAGGCAAGATCGTTATAAGCTCTTTCTCTGTGAGATGGTAAAACGTACTCAGCTCTATCAACAGCTCTAAAAACTTGCTCCACTTTTCTTGTTCTTATGTAGCCATATTTCATTAAATTATCAACCAGTTCATCGTTACTTTCACCACTGCTCACAGCTGCCCCCATTGTTTGAAAGAATCCCTGCAACAGAAATTCAATACGTCGACTCAACACTTATTGCTTTTAAATATTTTTGCATTATTGCTCCACTTGTGTGATAATTGTTACTTTGTTACTATACTGAGAACTTTCATTGAGATACTTTTTTGGAAATGAATTGAATTTGTGCAAACGCGTAGACAGAGTAAAATTTATATTTGTGCTTGACTTTAAAAATAACTTATCAGGTCAAACTATAGTATATTATTTACATTACAGTTTAATCAACGTTTATGCAAACATGGAGAATGCAACGAATAATAATCTATCAAAATATATTTCATCTGACAAGAGTGAAGTTCAGATTAATATTGATATCTCATTTTGTTACAAGCATTTGAGATAACGTGCCTAATTTTGCATGTCAAAATATAACTTGATAGGATTACGTCAAAGCGCGTTGCACATATATATATGCGTGTATCCATGCAAAACCGGATAAGGTGTATATTGAAATTCTGCAAAACGGAAATTCATGTCGAACAGCGATAAATAATCAAATGAAGCGATGATAAATTAAGTATCGGCGTGTAGAATAAATATCGGCATTGAAATATGCACGAGGAAATGCACGTAACAAATTGTTTACAGCATTCTAGTCGGAACGTTCCCTTACCAGATGAAAACACTATGCTCAATGACAGTGAATAATGGAGTCGGTGCGTTACAAGTTGGAAGGAAAACTTTTCGGGGCCTCGAGTTAGCTTGTTAGAATGCACACGGTACTACGCATGGTAACGTGATATTCTGTGACAGGAGAGACCGGGTTTACTGCTCACGATGTCCTCTGTTTTGCCAAGCACGACAGCCCATCGAAACGTATCAGCTGATAGCACAAAACACGAACTACGCCATTGTCTGTTTTCGATTACTCTCCGGCGACGTTTAAATGACGTTCAACGAGCTAGTTTCACAGAGGGAGATCCGATCAATTACGAGTATCATCTTGCCTCTTGTTATCTTTTCGAATTTTTTGTTTCTTTCTTTTCGATCGCACAAAGTACTTTCCTATCCGTTTCTTCTTTTCTTTTTTTTTTTTCCTTTACCTTTTACTCCCGAAACGCGTATGCGCGTTGATCGGCCTTTTTAAAGCGTATGACAGTGCCGTCCTTACGAATGAAGCCCCTTCAACACGGTTCCTATCCCCTCTCTGCAGTTGTCATCCCTAAAAGATAAAGAGGTTCAGAGAGAGAGAGAAAGAGAGAGAGAGAGAGAGAGAGAGAGAGAAATAAGTTCTCGATTCATGTCACAGACGAGGTCTATAGATAGATCTACATGCAATGTTTTGTTCCCGTGTTCGTGGGGTCCTGGGACCCGATTACCATTTTCGTGTCACATCCTGTTGTACCGATTTAGGCAAGTTTCGCACCGCAGCGCTGCTAGTGACTAGGGAATTAAAATCAAAAAATATGGATGGCGTTGCCACGTCTGCTCCGAGAATTGCTGGTGGTACTTTGTCAATAAAAGGATATAACGATTTGGAACAGCGGCTGATGAAAACTGGGACGAGATATTAATATTTACATCTCTTTAAAAGTATCCGAAAAAATTGATTGAAATATGTTATTTAGTAATTAGATGTGATGTTTTTTTACATATAAATGTGTAAATTCACAACCTGAATATATTATGAATCATCCTTATCTCGCAAACTCGATTTTGTAAAAGATTAGACCTATCGAAAGAGAAAAAAAAAAAACGTCTACAAACATTGTTTCGAAACTTCAAAGTTAAATTCATTTTCTCAAATCATATACAGATATTTTCTTTTTCATAGTACAGTGTTATTTGTTAAGACGAATTCCTTGGCTTGCATACGAGGTCGTTTAGTGTTATAAATTGTTAGAAATTGCGTCATAAATTAATAAATTATTACGGAGTCGAATATCGCTGATAGACTGTACTTTGTAACTTCTTATTTCTTTTATTTGTAAGGGGACATAACAGTCGGGTCAAAGTAGATACAAAGTTTGAACAATTTAATAATACATTTTAGCATCAAGATTTGAGATATTGATTTGAAATTTAAAATATTGCTTATTTTTTCCATTTGCATAATTCATTTCTTTCAAATTGCATTATGAGATTAATCACGACTCTCAATCTATTGCAGAAGTCGACACCCTAAACAACCCCTTCTCCCAACAAAGTTAGAAAGACATCACCATTAGAGGAAGAAGCTGTTCAAAATATTGATCTCTGTAACATGTTCAAAAAGCATCGAAATCGGTGAGGGAATAGTCAATCTGTAAGTTCACTCGGTTATCTTCGAGACTTTTTTATCGTAATAACGGAATGACAAATGAAAAACGAGTTAAAGGGGCACAGGTAAGTTTAGGATTTCCTGATGAAACCTAAACTTACCTGTGAATAGTTGCCAAAGTTTAACATGGTTGCCACATTTCTCTTACTGTTTTGTCCGCCAGAGTAAAATGCGATGAAATGGTCAAATTAGCGAAACAGGCAAGTTACACGATTGTTCATACACCTCATGTATTCAGTTTAATTCCAACATTGTCGGATTTTATTTGTCATTTCTCGTAGCTAACAATTAGAGGCTTTTATTTCACACGTGGCTCTCAACTTTAGAACATCTCGGTTTGCTACATTACAAGTATTACAGTCACTACCGTGGTTCAGACCTAATTTGTAATTTCTAATATTTTTCAACAATAAAAATGACATCATGTATAAATTGTTGAATTCGTTATTATGAAAAGAAAATACAAAGTGCTATTTAAAAAAATTAAAGTTTCTTTTTAATTGGCCGATTTTGTGAGATAAAGAAAAAACACTTTGTATATTTTTCACCCTGCTTGTATTTTTCATTACATCTTCATGAAATAATAATTTCTATTATGAATAATGAGGTTATTACAATAAATTTGTTATTAAAATATTGGTTAAAATAAATAGATTAAAATATTATAGGTTATATTATTAAATATTATAAAATATTATAGGTTAAAATAAATAGATTAAAATATTAATAAGTAAAAGTAAAAAACTAGTTTATAGAAAAACTAAAATATTACTTGAAAATCACGCTATGTAGAAACTAAAAGCATAATTTTTAGTTGATGAATAATAGAATTTATGTTTTTGTCATACCCAGTGCATAAATTTGTAATAAATTTATAAATTCTTCATAATTATGTAAATTTGAATATGTAACATAAGTGAATGATGAAATTATATTTTCTAACAATAATTGACTTAGATCTAAGAAAATAATTTTAAGAAATAGTTGAAATCTGGTTAGTTAAAAATTGTTCTTAAGAATGTTTATGAAGTATAAATCATCCACATTATAAATTGTGTGTTTAGTAGCTTTGGAATTTTAATATACTACGTGCAGAAATCTGTCGCTAATTCGTAAAATAGATAGTAGAATTTTACAGCTTCACGTTTTGGTATTTAGAAAATTGACAACGCTGCAATAGATTTCAGGCATCATGTCCCTGGCGCATTCAACTACTTGATCAACTTTGATTGTTTTGCTCGATGTAGTTCTCCAATGCACCGTTCTTTAGGCGTAGAGTGCGCTAAAAAACCAATGATTTTTTTGCAATGTCGGTATTTCAGAGTACGGGACACGAAGTTCCATAAAATGCAAAGTCTATTCATATACCTCGTCTGTGCCCGAGATGTGACTTCTCTCTTCTTCTAACTTGCTCCTCAGACAAAAGACAATACGCGGGAAGTGTTTGTACCGGATGCGCACCTATAGCAAGGCATTAGCTAGCATCTCTATGCCATGGTAACGAAACCAAGTGAGGAAAAAGCTCTCCGAACTGCGAAGCTTAGTTTGCACACCACTGCACGTGCAACATCGAGCGCAAGCGTTTACATACGCTCTGGCATATGTTTCTTAAATATGTAAATACATATGTTGATATGCGCAAACGAATATATATACACATATGAATGCATGCATATTTGTAATCAAATGATTCTTAAACTTCGCTCGATTGACTGTCTTACGATTGTTATCTTTTCTTTCACTGTAATAATAAATTTATTGCAGCAAATGTATGCATGCCACATAGAAATTTTTTCATTTGCTGCATTAAAAATAAGAAGACGCTGTCGCTATGGAAGCGCAGCACGAAATAAGTGTTTCAACGTAGCCAACAATTCCATCGAATTTATTACATATTATTTTTATTTTTTATTTCGATCGATATTGAAGAGTTTAATATTTAATTCTTGCTTTGCGTGACAAAAAAAAAAAAAACAAAAAAAAAACGTAAATTATTTTTACGCGACTCGGTCGATGTGAAAAACTCGCGTTATCATTTGATGAAACAGGAAAACAACTTTTTAATATTTAACAAGGATTTTTGTACGAAAATAAACGGAAGAATAATTATTATTATTTGTTACTTGATATGTTAGCAAACGAATTGACGCCAGTCGTATTTTTGTAAAAACAAAAAAAAATGTATCCGTGAAATAAGTATACCTTGATGTTTGAAAAACCTTTATACTCGAGGAATTTTATTACGTACACGTTAAAATATATATTTCTGAAGTATGTAATTTTTATCTTATTCTATTTTACGTGTAGAAATGTGAATGAGCCTTTACAGCAGAAGCTATGGGTCGATGCGCATGCGCACATAGAATAATATCGTCTCTTCGCATATTATGGCGACTGACAACTTTAAAACGTGAGTTTATTATCATATAATTTCTTATGTTTATATCGTGTTGTTTGCGTGTAAAATGTAATAGTGGTAACATCGAATATTCAGGTGTATGTTAGCCAGGTAATTTCTTTTTCACGATCGACGTTCGACAGACTATATCCTTAAAATTACCGCTCACAATTCGTTAGACCAACATTCACTTATCCTAGTAAGTATACCTATAAAGCTTTCCGTAACTTCTTGCATCGGTGTACTTGGAAAAAGTTATAAAGTATTTATGAATGAATATAACGCGTGCAAACTTTCGAGTACACGTTACCACGATCGTCACAATGCTTTTTGTTCGTATTCTTTTTCAATTTAGCACCATTTGTATTTAATGTACTTAAAATATTACGACTTGGTATTTTGGGGTATTGTGATTGCATCTATATACTCGTAGCGATCAATTTGCACTGCTAAAGAGGAAATTAACGAAATAGTTTCGCTTTCTTTTTATCTTGGAAACTTTTTAATAACCTCGATAATCTCGTAGATTAAATATCTCGTGCTTTATCGAAATACAGTTTACCATTATTTTTTTTTTTTTTTCATAAAAACAGCAACGATATTCGTGATTTTAACATTATTCAGCGAAGTAAATAATTAAAGAACGATTTCCATTCAAAATTACTTAGTATACATATATTGTTTATTTACAAATTTAAAAGATATTCCCAAGTCGTACCTATGTCGTATTGTTATCATTGCTGTTAATTTATACTAGGTTCGTAAATTGTTGGAAACTTTAATTTCGGTCGATAACAATTGTTTATTAGCGATTTTTGCCTATTTTGAACGTGAACTTACGAAATCCCGCAGTACTGTAATTATAATCCGACGGTAGTGGTAAATTGTTACACGAAGCGATAATACATCGAACATTGAAGGCATTAGCTTTCATATTTTAGAGGTTAATCCAGAAGTATATCGAAATAGCAGTTGTTGAGTGTTTTCCTAGCGTGCAAAATGAATGCATCGATTACCAGTTTGTATGAGTTACCGTAAATGGTGTTTTCGTGTATGGCATAGCAAAAAATGCAAACAGTTAAATTTAATAATTTTATTAAGAGTTCACCAGAAATTGCTGTTTCAAAGCGGAATCCTTTTCACCGATTATACGTGCTACTCGTTTGACCAATCCAACCACGATAACAATACGACGTCACGCAAAATACCGGCTGCTATTGGTTAAAACTGTCAACTATGAAAATAAAATAATAGAATCTAATACACACGCGTATGTACATACATATGTGTGTATATACACATAATAAGTCAGAGATATTTCACATTGTATATATTTTTCTCGAATTACGAATACCTTGGTGCATTTAGATTTTTAAAATTCAACGGGATTATTTCGTTGTATAACGACGAATAACTCATCTTTTTCCTTCTTTTTTTCAATCGGTTTCGCTCGCATTGATCGGCAGAACGCAAATCGGTTTCACTTCCCTTTTTTTTTCCTTTCTTCTGTACGACATTTGCGCGGGAGATTTGTCGAGAAGTGCAGCGAGAGAAGCGTGTTCGCAAAGGCACCAAATCGGACGGGAAAAAGGAACGGTCGATACAGTGACGCACAATTATCGATCGACTGGATACGATCCTCGAGCGATTTCGAAATTGCACTGGTGCTCAGGTGAAAAAGTTTCTATTCTCCGATGTGGTTAACAACATGCCGAGGATGTCCGATTAGCCGGAAGGTTGTGAACTTGTCCCTCGATGTGACGCCGATTAACCAATGGCAGGCGGCCTGTTGCGCCGTCGCCACTACAGTCGGAGCCTATGAGGATGTAGCTGTAGCGTATGATGAACGAAGGCTCGAACGCTTGAAAGATATGAGAAAATAATTGTTTGAATTTCGCTTCGGAACTGCAGTTTCGTTTGCCCTTCATTCGCGTCACGCTGATCATTCGCGCTGCGCTGCGATATCCACCAGCGAGACGGCCGGTCTCGTGTAATTTCATCCGTTCTCGTATTCCAGTGAAAAGTGTGCGTGCGCGTTGTGTTTCCCCCGAGTAATTCGTGATGCGCGACCGACGATTTGCAAAAGCATTCGGGTAAAAGCGTTCGCCGCCGTGATTGTTCGTCGCCGCTTGTTCCTGGAGATCCCCAGTGTTCTTATAGAATGCATGGAACAAATTACTGACCAACCGACACGTTTGAACAAGCGAAAAAATAATAAACGCAACTACACTCGGCGATACTAATTCGGCGCGTGTTTCAAATCGCGTTAGTGAGATACTCTCGACGCCCAGTTATGGCTATCCGCGATACCAGGGCATTAGTTGTTAAACTTCGCTTGTTGGTTTGACCGCTAAGTTTCATAACGATTCTCGTCACGTTGCTCGTTGAAAAATTGCGATTACTTGCAAATTATGTGAATAACAACGGTTCTACTTGGCGATAAACGGATATTATATACTGTTAGGTTTGTAGAATTGCAAGATTCCTTTTCCTTTAGTATTTTTTTCCTCATGTCGGCTCGCGGTATTTCTTTTTGAATGTTAATACGTCTCTTTTAATTAAAAAAAACGTTCCCACATTATTTTTTTTATCATTATATTGTTTTTGTTTTTTTTTATATAATAATCATTTTTGAAAATCAGGTGTCATTTAACTTTAGGCCAGTCAAGTTTTATCTTTGAATATTTCAGTTTCAAATTATATATTTCTTTTTGTATATCTTTTTTCTTCTGATGTAAGTGGGATTTTGTGAAGAAGTATGAATTATGAATTGATGCTTTGAAATATTTTTGTGAGATTCCTATTTGTCGAATATGTAAAGTGAGTTCTTTTTCTACATGTCTAAAAGATATATTGTGTTATGTTTTTTTCAACAGAATGGAAGAAGAAATAGTAGTAGATGATGTAGATGAGAATAGTAATACGGAGGCACCACAGTCAGACGACCCAACAACACCCGTTATGCCTTTATTATATATTCAACAAAGTAAATTACGCTCAGCACCACCAACAACCACAAATCAGACTTTGGTTTCACCTAATGCCACGCAATTGGCTGCTATTATCAATCCAGTCAATAATCAGGTAATTTGTTAATATCCTTATCTTGAATGAGATAGCTGACTATTTAAGAGAGGAACTTCTTTCCCTTTCACATTATGTTTATATATAGCATTGAAAAAGTTCTTAATGAAACTTTGAAGTATTCATAATGATCATAATTCAATTCTTACATAAGTAGAATAATATATTATACTATATAGTACAATAAACTGCATAGTTATAGTATATAGGTCAGAGTAACCTATAATTGTATAAAATGATCCAGAATAATTGTGGTATCTCAAGTATGTGTACTGTGAACTATAGTTTCATTATGTCATGTGTAAATGGATATGAAATGTACACATGTAAAGTGTGAAATCTTCTTAGATTCCATGTGTAGATGGTAGCAGTGAATGGTATACATCTTTATAGTAAATGCAGATCTGTTCAACATATTTGCTATAGTGAAGTGAAGAAGTGCAGATTATATTAAATATCACTTTTATAACCATTTAGTTATTTTATCACAGTACATTACAAAAATATCCCAAATGTTTCTCAAATGACACTTTATTCAAATGTGAGGAGTTATATGAAATTACATAGTTTTTAATTGTTAAGTGACTTGTGATTAAAATGTGTTAAAAATGTCAAGATTATTTAATCAATTTTTTTGGAGATTTGTGAGTTATTATCAATAAATTGTTCATTTTAATTTCGTTACAGATTGTTACTGGACAGAACAAAGTATTTATACAAGGTCCAAGTCAGGTTACTACTTCTCAAAATAAACAACATATTGTAATTCATCGGCCCATTAATACTGTCAGTACCACAACCACTTCACAAGGTCAAAAGCATATATTGCTTAGAAAGTCCAATACATCTACTGCTCAGATTGTGCCCTTAAGTACTTCTCAGGGAAATCAAACTAATGCACAAGCAGGCAAGCACACCTTTGCATATCTTGGAACTCTCATCAAACCAAATAAATCACGCGAATCTGTTGTTATTCCAGCAGGTGATTATTTTATTTTTACAACAAAGCTATGAGAAATAAAAGATGCTTTTTATTTATATACTTTTAACTCATTTTTTGGTCATATTTCATTAGGAGCTCTAACTACGACTCAAATAGCTAAACCAAAATTAGTGATAGCACCAGTTATATCGCAGTTAGCTCAAACTTCAACAAGCACTACCACTGGATCTCAAAGTCAAACTCCAAAACACATGGCTAATTTATTATTACCAGTCAGTATACCCCCACAAAGTGGACCTAAGTCTAGTATGTTTAATTTAAAAATTAACAATGGCCAAATTAATACAGAAAATAAAGGAACTATTACAGGTAAATATTTGAAATTACGTTACTCCATTGTATCGTTAGATTGAAATTAATAATTATTATGTTATTTTTTTATATTATAGTGTTACGGGAGTCGAAAACTACAAATTCAGCTACACACCCACCTCCTTTGCATCCTATTGCAAAAATGAGTTTACTAAACGCAAATAAAGGAAACAATAATTCCACAGATAGTATAAAAATTACAGAAAATCCAGATTCCGCAGTTATTACTCCTATTCCAAAAAAGGATGATATTTGTATGCCGGAGAAGCGAAAAAAAACGATAAGTAATATATTAAGAGGATCGAGTGAAAAACGGATGAAAAAACAGAATCTTCCAAAGTCTCCTCAGGAGAGTATAGTCGACGTAAGCTACGCACTAAGTAGTCCTGAATCAGAGCAAGATAAAGATAAAAAAGTGCAAAATGATGATGACATTACTTTGATCAAAGTAGTTCCTAGCGAAGATAAAACTGTGAAGTTAGCTAATGCTAACGTGGATGATGATATAAAAATCGAGATTATTAAAACACGCACAAGTTGTGGCATTGAATCAGTAACTGACAATAAAAGTGATACTAAGATTAATATGAATAATCGTGAAGACTTGAAAGATCATTTAAATACGACACATCCGAATGATTCGAATTTCGATGCGACGAAAGTTTTGGATTGGAAAGACGGTGTTGGAACTCTTCCTGGAAGTACATTAAAGGTATAGTAACATATAATATTAGAAAATTAATTTACGACATTGTTGTTTGAAACATCGAATATATTCCACAGTTTTGTATGAATGAGTTTGGAATCATGGAAGTAGTGGACGAGGACGAAAATAACAAACAAGGCAAAGATTGCATTGGCGACAAAGAGAATGTTTGTTCGACACAAAATTCTTCCAAATCTAGTCCCGTAACTGTCAACAATGTAAACAACGAGAAGAAACGTAAGTATTAACAATGCGAATATACGTATTTTCTTCAAAAGAATAGAGATGGATTTCATTTGAATATGACAGAGTTTATTTCTACAGCCGACGATAGGAAATCAAGGACTGTTTCGGCAGACACAATGTATCATTGTGAAGGCTGTGGATGTTACGGATTGGCTGCAGAATTTGAAAGTCCGATATCATGTGGTCCAACATGTACAGAAATAATAGAAGCCAAGAAACAGCCTGCATTGCGAAAAGAAAAAGAGTTGAAGTATGCATGCCAGTATAAAATTTTCTAACACTTAATTAAATGTACTATTCTCAGATTCGTTTCGATTTTATTGACAGAGATTTACGCGCGAGACGAAAACGCAAAAGATTACTTCAAGAGCAGCAACAATCTAAAGAAATAGAAGACAAGTCCGAAGACAAAGGACAGGATAAAGTGAAGTCTGAAACAGACGAGGATACAAAGGAGTCTATTACAGGAATGGATGAAGATAGTCAAGTAGATATCACTGAATCGAAGGTACTTGTAATCAAACTTCACTTTCGTAGTTATTGAAACGTACTACTCATAAATGTGTCTCTGTATTCAGTATCCTTGGCAGACAGGAAAACTCGGATTTTCATGGTCTAAGTATCTTGAACATTGCAAAGCGAAAGCAGCGCCGGTTAAATTATTCAAAGACCCCTTTCCGTACGCTAAGAATCATTTCAAGGTTGGGATGAAATTAGAAGGAATAGATCCTGAACATCCGTCACGATATTGTGTTCTAACAGTTGTTGAAGTTGTGGGTGAGTTATTTCATTTTGCTTTCTTTTTTCTATTCAATGCATAAAATAGCGTTCAGCATGTTCAATTTACTTATCTGGATAATTCTAGGTTATCGAATACGTTTGCATTTCGATGGATACGCAGAAAATTATGATTTTTGGATAAACGCAGATAGCATGGATATTTTCCCGGTCGGTTGGTCGGAAAAGAATGGACATCGATTAGATCCGCCGAAAGGTTATGTAGCTAGTAATTTTAATTGGAATGCTTATTTAAAAATTTGTAAAGCTACCGCAGCGCCAAAAAATATATTTTCAAACAAAAGTGTAAGTGTAAGTTAATTAATTTTTCATCAAACTTCTCATTTTGACAATTTCATGTACCTCACTGATGGATTTTACTATTCCAGTCGGTGTGTCCAACTGGTTTCCGCGTAGGAATGAAATTAGAAGCGGTAGATAGGAAGCACTCTTCGTTGGTTTGCGTAGCAAGTATAGCAGGCCTAATGGATTCCCGTATATTAGTTCATTTTGATTCTTGGGATGAAGTATACGATTATTGGGCAGATGCAAGTTCTCCGTACATTCATCCAGTGGGTTGGTGCCATCATAATGGTCACAGTCTGACGCCACCAAATAGTAAGTGAAACAATGTATATTTGATCTTTATATTTTTTTAATTTTTTTTCGAGAAAAAAAAGTGATGCATACGAAAATGTGAATTTACTGTTTCAGACTATAAAGACCCCAAATCTTTTACGTGGGATGCATATCTTAGAGAAACTCGCTCAATGGTCGCGCCAGCTAGAGCTTTTAAACAACGACCTCCTTGTGGATTTAAACGCGGAATGAAATTAGAAGCAGTTGATAAACGCGTGCCCCAACTCATAAGGGTGGCAACAGTTGAAGACGTAAAAGATCATATGTATGTAAATTACAAGTATCTATTGTTTTTTTTCACAATTAATTGGAGCGTAATAAAATTATTTGTATTTTTGTTCCATAGGTTGAAAATACGTTTTGACGGATGGCCAGAAAATCATGCTTATTGGGTCGATGACGATTCTCCTGACATACATCCCATGGGTTGGTGTATGAAAACTGGTCATCCTTTAGAACCACCATTAAGTAAGAGTTTTTACAAATATCTTTATAATTTTCATGTTTTTACGTTTTCATGTTCTTACGTTTCAAATGTGTATTACTGTTTCCAGCGCCAGATAATTTAAACGACAGACCTGAATGTGGAACATATGGTTGCAAAGGAATAGGACACGTAAAAGGGCCTAAATATGCAACGCACAACTCCGCATCTGGGTGTCCATATTCTCCTCAAAATCTTCATAAAGTTAGACAATTAGCTGATAGACTTAATTTGAAACACGAGACTTGTGATTTTGAAGAGGATATGCAGGACAGACCAAAACTAGAGAAAGCTGATAAAATAAAAATGGAGAAGTCGGAGAAACCATTGTTTTCGGATGAACGGTTAATGAAATCTGAAAAAGACATTAAGCAAGAAGATGGGGACTTTTCCGACAAGAATGATAAATCTGAAAATTTAGAAAAGTAAATTATACAAATGTTTTTTTATTAAATTTGTAACATTTTTATAATTAATTCATAATTACTTACGTGTAATTTATAATTACAGGTATAACAGGTCGAGACATCATCACAGTGATGGACAAACGGATGATGATGAACTTTTAAGAAAGAGAAAAAAAAGGTTAGCTTATAACTAACTTTTTTTTTTTGCATTTGTTAAATTTTATATACTCGTTACCAGTTTATATATGTTTGTACATTTTGTAGGCGACAGATTTCAGAGGAACCTTTGTATTCCCTCTCGAATTCATACGGTGATTCATCGCTAACTACTGTACCTTATGCTGCAAATATGCCTGATAAACAGTTGCGTACTGAATTGTACCAATCTGTTTACAATCCTGGGTACAATCCATTACCAGATTCGCCGCATATTTGGGCGAAACATAGCAATGCTTTAAATAGGGTAGTAGCGAAACAGAACACAAATCCACGAAGATGGTCGAACGAAGAAGTGATTAAATTTATACAGAGCGTACCCAACTGTAAAGAAATTGGAAATATCTTTAGGCAACATGTATGTATTAAAAAAAAAAAAAAATGTAATATAATTCTCATTATATTCAAACAGTATTTAATTTGGTGTATTTTATGTTCGTAGAATATTGATGGCGAAGCATTTTTAATGTTGACCCAAGAAGATTTGGTGTCACTACTAGGATTACGTCTCGGACCTGCGATTAAATTGTACAACAGTATAGTTCTTTTACGTCGAAGAGCAACGTGAATGATGTGCGATGAACGCACATACAATTGGGTTTTAAAAAGTGCAAAGTGGCAGCTATCATGATGATTATGTCAGACATATTTATTTTAAGAAACAAGAAAAAAAAAAAAAGAACGAAGAAGAAGTTTAACAATCATTGGGATAGAAACGTATTTTCTATTGCGATTTGATTTACAAATCAAATGAAGAATTTGTAATAATTTCTAATTTTGATGACGTTAAAAAAGACATTTATTGAAGCGAAAGAGTATTGCGCATTTGAAGTTGAAGTGGACGTTTTTTATCAACTTGTGATCGTGCGATATAACTCGCGAAATATAGCTCGGATGTACGCTCATGATGAAGTACTTACTATTGTCCGTTCGAATTTTTTCCTATACAGTGAAGTGTATTCAATCGTGTACAAATGTAAATATTAACGACCTTAATAATTAAATATTGTAATATGAGAAATACAAGCAATCTTCTACGAAGAAATTTACACCTGACCTGCGATAGTTATACTTTATAATTAATTCTCCTTCGTCCTTCGAACACTGGAATGGATTTATTAACGACAACGTTTCTTTCACATTAATATATATATATATATATTAATGTCTCAAACATTTTGCAATTACATTTTGCAGTTCACATTTATATTGTAACAATCGAAAGGTCTAAATTGAACAAATCTATACTGTATAAAAAAAAGTTGAATTATAAAAGTTAAGAAATTCACTGGTTATTCATTAATTGTATAATATAAAACTATATAACATATATTTAATTAATAATATATATTTAAAAATTAAAACAATACGTATTAATTTTTTATATTTTTATTTATATATTTTTATTGGGATATTAGTCCAAACCAATGAAGAGTCCGTGTTCCATTTAAAACCCCTTATTCATTAATTATATAATAAAAAATATATTTAATTATCAATAATAGATAATATATACAAAAATTAAAACATAATACGTATTAATATATTTGTATTTATATTTTATTGTATTTATATTTTTTTATTATACTTTTATATTTTTATTAGGATATTAGTCCAGATCAACGAGATGTTTCATTTAAAATTCCTCATTTATTAATTATATAAAAATATATAATAAAAAATATATTTAATTAACAATAATACATATTAATATATTTTTATTAGGATTATTAGGATATTAGTCCGGACCAACAAAGAGCCAGTGTTCCATTTAAAACGCGTAATCCCTTATTAATTATATAATAAAAAATATATTTAATTAACAATAATATGTATTAATATATATTAATTAAAGCATAATAATACATATTAATACATTTTTATTAGGATATTATTAAGTCCAGGCTAACGAAAATCCGGGGGTTGTTCCATTTAAAATGCGTAACCCCTTCTTTTCCATCGAGATACGGTGCCACTCCGCAGACCGCTCCCCCACCACGCTGGCCAAGTGGCTGCTGTGGCGATGTTTACAGCGTAGTCACAACGACCGGCCATGTGTTCAGTCGGTGGCTCGTCGCGCGCCGCGCAGCACTCGTTCTCTGTCGTGCGTGTTCGCCTCGTGATTCTTCGTATATCTTCGCCTCGCGAAAGTGTTCTCGTATGACAACCACTTGATTGTCAAACGCTTGCCGCTGTTCTACGGTGCATCACTTAAATTATTCACAACATTGCAAAAGAATTCGAACGATCAGAAATCAACTTGCTAAGAATCTTATTATTATTACCGTGTTCAGTTACAGTTGCTCGTTATGATAAATTCGCGGGGCGAGTTTCACGAGTTGCCGGACTATCGATCGATTGAGATTTATGACTGTTCAATTATTCCCGGACGTGTCAATCCCGACGTTTCGATCGATTCGGCCGGAAATTAGCGGGAAACGGAACGATGACATCGTCGGCTGTGCCGTCGGGAATCAGGTACGTGGAAATTTCGTTGGTTGTCCTGTGTGTCATCGAGTTACGAAGTGACAGCGAGGAACATTCAACGGACGTTCGTACACTGCATTCGTGATCGTGCAGTTGCAGTGCAGAATCGGAGTGTTGTCATGCGCAAACGCGATCGTCTTGCGTCGATTTGATCGTCGAAAACGAGTCGATTCATCACATCGATATCGATATTTCGGAAGAGCCGAGGGTACGCGTAATCGCTCGTGTGTGTGTTATGACTGGCGTATTTTTCACGCGGCAGAAGGAGGGGAATGATGCGGGATGGTCGCCGTTGATCGTCGGTGCGCGTGAAAAGCGTGAAAATCACGAGGAGGAGGGACGGTCGGTGAAATTCGGCGGCGGTGGGCCGCAGGCTCGTTTATCGGTGATTGGCGCGGGATACGCCGGCACCGGAAGTGCTAAAATGCCCCGTAGCCTGCCGACTAGACGAGGTCTTCAGGCGTTGGCGCTCGTTCTCGCCACCGCTTATGCCACTATCCTCCTTTATCAGGCCATTGCACCTCGTCAGGTAAGCGTTTCATTAATTTATTGTTAACATTAGTTTAGTTATTACTGACACTTATTGTTATGACTGTTTCGATCGTGCTGTCAAACGAAATTGATTATTGAAGCTGTCAAGAATAGCTACTGCAAAAAAAAGATATTTACCCGCCATTGTGTTTGCCATAATATGTACGCACTAATTAACCGTTTCGATATTTGTGTCGAGTACGTTCGTCATGAACAGACGCCATTTTTTTGTTTGATGAAACTAAAGTTAGAAAATAGAAATACCCATCACTATAAAAAAATCAAGTGTCCATGGAAAAGATCGATTTTATTTTCGAGTGATAAAGAACAACTTGCTGACGTCACTTGCAATCGACGTCGAATCGTTCGTTTCTCGAAGCGCGATTCAATAGCCAGTTACGCTGATCGAGCGACAAATCGAGTTCGAAATTGCCTTGTTGCGTGCACGAGAGAGTAAACATTACGCGTGCTCGCTTCCTTTCCGAGAATTCTGGAACGAATTGTTGCTCTATCTGCGCGCCATGTTTACGAAACGTTATTGAAATAATCCGTTATGAAAACATTGCGACTATATGTTATATATGTACGCGCGTGTGTACTTGTCTGCAGTGGGTTGACGAGATGACGGTCGAAGTGAATAGTAGAAACGTGTTGGTGGAAGTGCCGGCGTCGAGGAGGATGATGATCAGCGAGGAATCATCGGTGACACCTGCGATCGCGACTGCGACCATGGCGCTGTTCACCACGAATCTCGACGACGTGTTCATCAGCGTGAAAACAACCAAGCACTACCATCACTCCCGCCTGCCAGCTATCATCAGCACGTGGTTTCAATTCGCCAAGGATCAGGTACGTGACAAATCGTCCGGTAACTTTCATGCTTCTTGTATTCTCTATAGAATCCTGTTACCATGTTACATGTATAGTGAGATGTTTATTATAGATCTTTACAGTTTATCTCTGTAAGATTGCAGCGTTAAATTAAACTTAATAGAAAGCCAATGTTAAGTACAATATTGGATATGATGCAGCATGTTAAACGTAATAGATGTACATATAATAGATGCAGCATGTTAAACATAATAGATGTACATATCATAAGAACGTATCAAGTACAATGTTAGATATACACATAATATACAATGTTACATATTACACATAACAATCTATCAAATACAGTGTGAGATATAATACAGTATATTAAACATAGCAAACATGTACGTGTAACAATATATTAAATACAATGTTTGATATAATACAACATATTAAACATAACATATATGTACATATATATATTATACGCGTCAAATACAGCCTTAGAGATAATAGAATTAAATGTTAGATATTAAACATAGCAGATGTACATATGCATGTAACAATATATTAAATACAATGTTAGATATAATACAACATATTGTACATAACATATATGTACATACATATATTATACATATCAAACGCAGTCTTAGAGAATAGAATTAAATGTTAGATATTAAACGTAGCAGATGTATATATACATGTAATAATATATTAAATATAATGTTAGATATAATGCAATATATTGAACATAATATATATGTACACGTGTGTATTATACACATCAAACACAGTTTTAGAGATAATAGAATTAAATGTTAGATATTAAACATAGCAGATACGTACATATACATGTTATAAGTAACAAGATATTAAATATGTTAGATATGATACATTGTCACTGTTATGTTGTACGACCATGGTAATAGAATCTTGTAACATATTGTAAAATATTATACCTAATATTACAATCTTACAGAACTTACATCTTAGAATCAATTTATCGATGGACTTTTTGGTTCATCATTTTGTTGTTTTTGTTGCAATCAAAATTATCCATCGACAATTGTATAATCAAAAATATACATTTCATTCATTTTATTGGTAGTGAATCGTCGCACATTAGAGATTTGAAATACATACGTAGGTAATTACCTTTCAAATCAATCTCAAACGAAGAGTAATAATTGATTCCTGAAAAAGGTAATAGACGTCTGTTTCGGGTCACTCTGTGTGCGATTTGTTACTGTTCGGTCGAGCATATACACGGTGGTTTTCAAGCTTGATGCGCACTCGTCTCGTGGGAACGGCATTCCCTGTGTTTCTGTTTCACCCTTTTTCTTTTTCCCACCGCGTCTCTTATTCCCCATGAACACCGTACATCGTTTCGTTTGCGTATCGAGCTCCCGTTCTTGAAACAAACGAATCTTACATATCCGTCTGTCCGCCTATTTTATTCGCCGAGTCTATCTGTTTCCGGTCTTCGTTGAAGCGTAGACGGTGGTAAAGTATAGGTAACGTCGCACAGGTACAGGTAGAAGGCCCAGAAACTTTCGCGATATTATCTTGCCACGACTAATTGCATGCATTGTACTCCCCATTTTGCTTTGGCCCTCTGCTCCTTCAGCGCTACCGGCGACGCTTCTTGGAACTAGCAGCCCAGAAAAGTCGCCAGAGGGGCCGGCTAATAATCAAGATTCTCAGGAATCGCACACTCGAACGAATTATCCAAGGGGCTAAAAACCCGTGTTCTCGAGGCGACGCGGTATTTGTCTGTTACTCTATCGGTCGGCGCCCTCTTTGAAGCGCGCTCTGTCTCGTCTTGGTCGATGGATTTAAAAAGTAGGTGAAGTTTGATTAAATTACGTCGTGGGGCAGTTGTGTAGTCGTGTATCGTTGCATTCACAGTAGAGTGGTCGATGAGAGTGTTTGACTAGATTTTATTAAAATTTTCAGCCTCCCGAAAGATATTGTGATACCTGTTGTCACGTTGCTCTATTTTTGTGCATTTACGAGAAATTCAATACTAAATTTATCACGACAAAGTGACCGGTTTAAAAATTTAATTCTTAACAATTCTGCATTCGTTGTTATTCCTTTCTTTCGTTTCCATTAAGAAAAATGAAAATATATAATTTTCTTTTCTTATTATTCAATAGTTATTTTGTGTATTATTTTCTATATTAATAATTCGTGGATAGGAATAAGTATCTATATATAAAGATTCTGGTACGTTTTGTGTTAAAGATGCAGGAATGTACTGATTGCAATATTTACTGGATGAAAGAAATCTCTAGTTATATTCTATTTTTTTCAATCATAAAAATATGAATTTAAATAAAAAGCCACAATCTGGATACTTGTAATATACATAGATATTTATAATATAGATACTTATAATATACATAAATAGTTCTTCAGAGTTTGTTATATAATTATAATACAGTTAAATATAGAATTTAAATAAAAACCCATAATCTAGATGTATAATACATGTACATCAGGGATGTTTCTAGATCTTTAGAGTTTGTTACACAAGTGAAGTTTGAGTGAAGCTTGATGAAAAAGAAAGAATTCTAAAATCCTCGAATACTTGATGGAAGATCAAGATGGAATAGAAAGGATGAATTTAAATAAAAATCAATAATCTAAATATAATACAAGTGTAATACAAGTTCTTCAAAGTTTATTATACAATTGATGTTTAAGAAAATTTTAGTATAGGCTATATGATGGAAGAAAAAGAATTCTAAAATGCTTGATGGAAGATCAGAATGGAATAGAAATGATGAATTTAAATAAAAATCCATAATCTAGATGTAATATGAATATATCAGATATTTCTATATCTTTAGAGTTTGTCATACAATTAACGTTTAAGAAAATTTCATATATTTAAGCATACAATGAAAGAAAAAGAATTCCTCAAGTATTGGGTAGAAGATCAAAGTAAAATAGAAAGGATGAATTTCATGAATCAAAACTCTAGATGTAAATACAAGTATATCAAGCATATTCCTAGGTCTTCAAAAAGATTGTCGTACAATTGAAGTTTAAGAAAATTCTAGCACAAACACTTGATGGAAGAAAAAGAATTCTGAAATCCTCTAAGTACCTGATGAAAGGTCAGAGTGGAATATAGAAAAGATAGAAATGGTTCTTTAGTCTTCAGAGATCTTAGGAACAAATTGATTTGATCTATCTAAGGATTTGTCAAAAACTTTATCATTCTATCACTTTATTTTTTATAACATTGTATAATTTAAACAAAGGAGAACGTTAGAAAGAAAGTATCGAGATGCCTTCTTCATTTCACGCTGTTATGAATTCACGATCCAATTTGCGGAGGTGAATGATTTATCGCTAGCAAAGGAAAGAGGTTAGGCAGGAAAGCGGACTACTGCCAGGGGTCTCGTGTTATTTATCTGCTGATACGAACTCGTTCAAAATGTAAATCGGGTTGCTTTTTACGTTGCAGACGTTTCTACTATTTTTGCTTCTACGTACATACTAGCGATTGATAAAAATATCTAAATAGTTAATTATTTAATAAATTAGTTCAATCATCGGTAAAAGTCGGTTAATGTTAATATTTTAAAATCGAAGAAGATCCATAAAGTCGCTGTTAGAACGCAAACGTTAGGTTAAATGATTAAGAAACTTCTTTGCCATTTTTCAAGAAAACTATTAGGTTTAGGTTAGGTTTAGGTTGCGACCTATGGAAAGGTTTTACGTGATAAGTAGAATACAATGTGAAGAAAAAAAAAATTTTGACTTTGAAATTTAAAATCAATATCAATTTTGCGGTTTAGGTTCTTTACATGTATTTCCATCAAATCGAAGGTATAGAATTCATCAATGATAGGGCAAGCTTTTCTTTCCACCTTGTACCAAGATCGTATTATAGAATTTTTCTATCAAACATCAAACGTTAACCGCAAAAGAAAAGAATCGAAATCTAACCTAAAAAAATTCTAAAGGATCCTGAAGAATCGCAAAGAATCCCAAAGAAAGTATTTGCACGATCATGTTCGAATTTGCCATCGCGTCGAGATTAAAGTGACGCTTTCGATTTCGACAAATTGCTCGTACCGCGGAGTGGAATTCACAAGTTGCAATCGAAGAGTCATTGTGCTCGATTGGCCCGCAGTTGATATGCTGTGGGTGTTCGTCAGAGAGAATTTCGTTCGGAGGAAAAGGATCGCCGATCGATCGATCGTCCAATCGTTTGTTGTCAT